ATAATAATCTTCCGGACTTCAACTTCGATTTTCTCAAAATGGTGTTACATTCGTCTATTTGAAAAGTGACGCGAGATTTGTTTATCACTATAATATATTTCCCTCTTGCTCGTGCATCTTAGTTTTAGATTGTACGCACCGAAAATTCAAAACGTCTTTTTAAATCTCGTGACCTTAAACAGAAAAAAAAGGCTTTTTAAGTTTTTACTTTGCATTCTACCAAAAATAAAAATTGAAAAAAAAAACACAAAACCGCACTTTTTTAAGTTTAAAAATGGTTATTTATTCAGTTTAGTGTGTGGGGAGCAATTTTACAGCCAAAATAGAAATTTTCACGCCGGGTTGTATTGGTGAACTGTGGTAGTGAAAATCCGAGGAAAATACATAACAAATCGCTGTAAAACTCATTTTGACCGATCGAATAACATACATTTTGAGGTTAGTCCGAGGAAAATAATAAACAACTTTACACGGTGATTGACCCCCGTTAGTGTGCGTGCGTTAAACTTCACTAATCTCTATACATGTGAGAAATACGTAATCAGCAATAAGGTGATTTTTTCTAGTGTACAGACATATTTTTTGACACTCATACAGACTTTTGAAAAAATCATCTGGCAACCCTGGTTACATGTGAGATGATCTATCTGGTTTTTTTTTTGTTGAAAAAGCATCGTGATTTATGTTACATGGATCAACCGGAAAGAAAACTCTGTCTCTGTCTTATTACTTATTTAAGATATTGATAATCTTATCGCATGATCAAGCAGCTGTTTTGTGAGCAACACTGTATTCTGCAGTGCACAGTGGTCCAGAATGCAGATTTAGGTGGAATGTTATGTTTTGAGCCTGAAATTGAAACTGTAGACGAAAATTTTCTTCTACAAAGTTGTTTGTTATAGTTAGTCCCTCATTTTTCTGACAATGAATTCTAGGGTGGTTCTTATTATGATTAAAATCAAAAATCTAACTTTTTTGTTAGAATAAATTAAGGTATACATTATTTGAAAAAGTTATAGCTGAGCTTATTCTAAGCAACTTTGTTTGAATAAAAAATTTTGTATCTCTTAAATTGACTGATTTAGAGCTATTTTCTTGAATTGAGTTAGGGTGTCTCTAAAAAACAGTTGTTTTGCTCTAGTTTTCTTATTTCAAATTTCTCAGCAAAGGTGTTTCTAACTAACTTTTAGATCTTTAGAAGGCGCACATTTTTGCTGTATAAAGCTTGTCAATATCTTTCGCCGATCAAGAGTTATTGACGTTTTTCTACTAAAAATATGTCCTTTTCAAATGTTATTATCTATGGTTGGGGCAAACAAAAAAAAGTGTTTTTACGGCGGTTTTTTTTTCATAAGACAATAGTGACTTGAATGATTAATAACTTTTTATCCTTACATTTTATCGAAAATGGTCTTGAACAAAGTTGTAACTGTGAAAATTTACTACAAGTACAATTATCAATTTTTGGAGCAGAGTAATAGGGTGAATTAATAGATAGATATGAACACAACATTTGGTTTTCCCATAGTAACTTCCATATAAACTTCAAATAGTTTGTGCCAAGTTGGTTTCTTACTAAATGAGCCAAATGAGGAACCCAATAGGAAGAGTTTGAACACTGTGGAGCGAAAATTTCAAATTTTGCATCAGTACCAGTGCACGTCGCTATGTTTTCATGTTAATAATAATAAGAATATCTAAGCTTACATGTTCACAGTGAAATACCGAGTGCAGCTCAATTATAACATAATCTTATGTAACTGACATAAAATGTAATTTAAGTCTTCATATTACACTGAGGTTAGGGGCATATACACTATGAAATTTAATTACCTATGACTCAAACTGAATAAAGCGGAATAAGATCGTTGGGTTGTATCTTTTTACAAAAATCGCTAAAATATGTGCTAAAAAACCGCATGAATTCCGAAATCCGCATAAATTTCGGAATCCGCGTACAAAAAACCGCGTAAACTCCTAAATCTGTGTAAAAAACGCATAAAAAGCAACTCCAGTGTATTTCCTCATTTCTAACAAAGAGTGTTAAAAGTTCCTTCAATTAAGTCTTTCAATTAAATTGGGACTGAAACGGTTAAGAAGGCTCAAAATCAATTCAATTCAATTTCAATACTTCCCAGTACTCTGTAGCGTCAAATTTCCACATCAGTTTGAAACGGAAGTAAATTAAAATGCCAACAGGAAAAAAAAATCCAATGGAAGATTGCAATCATTTCCGACTTTATTGACTCACCATAATGCATTTGAATCAATCGAATCCATTCAATCGCACTAATTACTATCCATCGTTTGCTTTATTACCGATGGCTCCAGCATATCAATCGTGATCATTTAACTACCAACCAGCAGCGAGCTCCACAACAGCAGTGTCGGCTCCGAACCCAGCGGGCACAGAAAAATAATCGCGTAATTTTTATGACACCAAACAGAGCTAATGGCAATTCGTCCATATTATTGTTGCGTGTTGTGATGGCTGCAAGCGTTCTTGTTTGCACAATGTTCTCTATGATTAGTGATTAAGGTCTCTTCCTAGTTCCTGCGGAACAGTGAGGGGGGAGGCGGTGAAGAGGGGACCACCAGAAGCTCACTTCAGGACATACATAACTCGTCGTAAGGGGTTAATAAAACATTTTACGATTCCAGCGGCTCCAAGAGTGCCCCAAGTCGTGTAATTTGCTGCTGTTCTGCTCGTGGAAGAAGGAAAACAACTCTTGAGCTGAGAACCGCCGTTTGCCTCACGACTCCAAAACTGCTGGCCTTGTTGTGCGGAGGAAAAATGTGAAAACAGTAAATCTTTGGCGACAAACACTGTGGGATACCGAGGAGGTAACGAATTAATGGTAGTACAACATAGGAATAAAAGTTTAATAGTTGTAATCGGGGTGGTAGTCTGCGGAGGAGCCGATTGTCAAGTGGTTGCTTGAAATGGCTCGGCTTCATCCCTGCAATCAAAGTTAATGCAACAAATCATACTGAAATATATTATCAACAACCGCAGAGTTTAAGAACGACTCACTTACAACAACAGCCAGCTTAGCTTGGAAGAGTAATCCACAAATTCCAACCGCATAATCTCAGCAGGAATGCGACGCCACGCGGTTCCTCGAATTATGGCTGCTAATTTGCCACTGCTTCGCTGTCGGCGCCATCCACATCCCTCTCCTCGGCATGTTTAATAATCAGTTTGATTTACGATTAGCCTCCGGGTTTCAATTTTCGCTTGTCCTATCCGTTTGAGGAAATGTCCCATAAGAATCGTTCCTAATATGACACAATTAATCGCTCTGCGCTCAGCGCACGATAAATATTTATAAACGAAAAAAAAAAACTCCTTCCGAGATGAGTGGCCCAACCAGCACCATCCAATTTGATGACGACGACGGTTTGTTGTCTATTCAAGCGCAAGCAGAGATGCATACATAAACATAATAATCGCGCCCATATCGCGTTTAGCTTGCTTTGGCAGAGCGGGCCTCACCAGCATTTATGCTTTTTATGTGTTTGGCCAAATTTGAACTAGCAGCACTCGCTGCTGTAGGGAATGATATTCAATTCCGGAATGCGCGCCATTATGCGCCTTTTATTGAAGTTCGTTGTCTCGTTGTGTGATTTGCCGGATTTGTTTATTGTTGATACAGTAGTGGCACATGGCGGATATGTCCCATGTTTTGGGCTGATGTTTGATTATGACCTCTATCGCCTGTCATAGTGTTTTGGAACTAATGTAGTTTGAATGGAAATTTATTTTGACGTAGAACTACGTCTGTGATTTCTATATGGGGTACACTTTGTAAAAACATAAAATGAAATATGTAACGAAATAATGAAAGATTTTGAACGTTAACAACTCAGCTGCCCCTGGATCAATTTCAATAACTTTATCGTCATTCGATCAGAAATATGCCTACGCATCGATAGCAATGCTGTTGAGTTTCAAGAAACTATTGAAAAATTGGTAAATTTCAAGCACTGTCCAAAAGCTAACTAATATACATCGTACGGATTAGGCAAAAGATGTGCGTCTATCTTTAAAAACTGTCGCATTAATGGCGCTTTGCTCATTTTCAACTTCTATTCAATTTTCATACTGTACTGTACTCTAACGAAACTATCCACCTACCCTCTTCTAAAGATCATTCTCTAGCTAATAAATTATCACACTAAAGCTTCATGTTAGCATTTCCAACCAACTCTGAAAATCGGTAACTTCGCGTATGAAGTAACATTAAAAACACTTTGAATGTAATAAATCCACCAATTACGTACATGCATATGTTTCTTCCCCAACACAGTCATCAGAGAGTCGTTTGTAGACGAAACAAGTCGAAGTGGCATTCGCCTCCGATCTTCGGGCGTGTGCGAATAGGGAGGATACAATTGCGTAACATTGTGCACACTCATCGCCACATTTAGAACCACACGTCCCCCAACGACCACACAACATGATCTCCAGAGTTGTAATCTTGAAAATAAACTTGGAAGCCTGGGTTTAAGTGATTTTGATCGATTCTCGACGTCATCCGCTCGCTTGGCCAATCCAGGGTAGAGTTCCGTCCGCACAGTAAGTAGGACAGGAGTCGCTGTGTCGGCCACCGCGATCATCATTCATCGGCAGTGGCGGTATGTACCGGTACAGTTAGCATCGAGATTAGGTTACACTACACACATTACACGAAACACAGAACAACACGCACACAATACAGAAAATGTTGAATCCTCTGATTACCTGGTAGCTAGCCGATCCTGGCTGTTCCGGGGTTTGCTCTTGTCGCCTGAGTCAACCGGGTGCTGTATGTTAGATCTCCGAGTAGGTACCGTATGCGTGATATTGTTTGCACCATCGTACAAATAAGGTTCCGATTGAAGCCTACCGAGCTGCCAGAAACCAATGCCGTCAAACCATCCGTGAAGCAAAGGAAGCGAGTTGGAAAAGCTTCCTGGACGAAATTAACCCAAATCAGTCATGCACCGAAATCTGGCAGAGGATCAACGCTATCCGAGGAAACCGACGTGCCCGAGGTTTTGCCCTCCGGGGTCCGGATGGACTCTCCCGAGACCCAGAGACAATTGCAAACCTCCTCGGCGACTACTTTGAGTCGCTGTCCTGCATTGAGGCCTACAACGATGATTTCAGGAACCGTAACGGCGTCTCCACCTCCAGCATCGAGAACGTGACCATACCCGATGACGAAGATACACTCACAATTAACAGTCCCTTCACCATGGATGAATTAAACTTTGCCCTCAGAAACGCCAAAGGCAACTCCTCCGGACCGGATGAGGTTGGATACCCGATGCTGCGGAACCTCCCACCCACGCACAAAGGAACCCTTCTCGAGCTGCCTGACTCCTGGAAGCATAGCCTTATCGTTCCCATCCCGAAAAACCTCGGTCCAGCACTATTACCGAAGGATTTCCGGCCGATCTCCTTGACCAGCTGTTGCAGCAAAATAATGGAGCGTCTAGTCAACCGGAGATTAGCGAGATTCCTTGAGGGGAACAACCTACTAGACCACCGACAGCATGCTTTCCGTCCGGGGCACGGAACTGGTACATACTTTAACAGTCTTGGCCAGATAGTACATGAGGCACTCCGTAAGGACCAGCACGTCGAGGTGGCCTCCCTGGATCTGGCCAAAGCTTACAACAGAGCCTGGACACCCCAAGTACTACAGCAGCTAGCCACCGCTCCAGCACCAGACGGGAAGAAACCGGGGTTCCCCAGGGTTCCGTAATTGCAGTAACCATCTTCCTGGTGACAATGAACGGAATCTTTATGGGGCTCCCCAAGGAGATTTACATTTTCGTCTATGCGGACGACATTTTACTACTGATCATAGGGAAGACCCTGAAGGCCATGAGGATAAAGCTCCAAGCTGCGGTCTCCGCTGTTGGCCGATGGGTCGCTAGGACCGGCTTTGAGATATCTGCTGAAAAGAGCTCAATCTCCCACATCTGCCGCCTTGGCCACCGACCACTTCCGACACCAATCAAAATTAACAGCCACACTATCCCTAGAAAGAAGACCATATCCATGCTCGCGGTCACGATTGACCGGAACTTTCGGTTCGGCACCCACGTTAATGATGTCAGGACTAATTGTCGAACACGATTGAACATCCTCCGCTCCCTCTCCGGGCAGCATAAAGCGAGCAACAGGGCCATCGTACTCAATACCGCCAGAGCCATTGTTCATAGCCGACTGACCTACGGAATTGAGCTCCTCTGTGCGTCCAGCGATTCGGTCGTCACCCGACTAGCACCGATATATAACCAGGTAACACGAATTGCGGCTGGACTTCTGCCCTCAACACCAGCCGATACCGCCTGTATTGAAATCGGAGTGCTCCCTTTCCGATATTACATTGCGGAAACAATCTGTACCAGAGCCGTGGGCCTCGACGAAAAATTAAGCGAAGACGGAGAATTCTATCTCCTCGCAGAAGGGAAACGAATCCTCCAGGAAATCGCTCACCAGGAGCTCCCCCCGGTGGCCCAGCTCCACTGGAACGGAGCCAGAGAGTGGGATTCTTCCCCCATCCGAGTAGACGAATCCATGGCCAAGCAGTTCCGAGCAGGAGACAACTCTACGGCAATGACATCCTGCCTCACCGAATTATTACAAACACGGTACCACAACTATGAACTCCGTTTCACCGACGGCTCCAAGGCAAGAGGCAGGGTCGGCTTTGGAGTAACTGATCGACAGACCTCACACTTCTGGAGACTCCCCGATCAATGCTCGGTCTTCTCGGCCGAGACTGCAGCCCTTCATTACGCAGCTTCCCTACCATCCTCCTCCCCGCTATGTGTACTAACCGACTCTGCTAGCGCCCTCGCGGCACTGGAATCCGCCACTGCCCGCCACCCCTAGATTCAGGCCATACAAAACCACACCCCCCTGGCACCACTTTCATGTGGATACCGGGACACTGCGGAATTGCCGGAAACACAGAAGCAGACCACCTCGCTGCCATTGGACGAAATGACCGACTCGCCAACACTTCGATCCCCAGACAGGACCTGAAAAGTTGGATCAAGTCAACCCTCAGGACGGCATGGGACCGCGAATGGTTCGCGGAAGACCAAAGGGATAACCCTTCCCTGGACGGATGTCCTAAGGTTTAACGACCAGAGATTCCTGTCCCGGTTAAGAAGCGGCCACACCCGCATCACCCACAACATGGGGAGCAGCAGTGGCAGAAACTTCCGCCAAAGATGCGACACCTGCAGAACAAACTGCCCTTGTTTCCACGGACCACGAGAACTTTACGGGACCCCGGGCAACATCCGAGACGCCCTTCAGAACGACCCGGTAGCAGAGGCACAACTGATATGTTTCGCGAAGGAGGCCGGAATCTACAAGAGGGTTTAACCCATATACATTATGACAGTAGGCCCGGCATTCCCTGCCGGTAGCGGGTGCCAGGTCTCTCCTGGCAGCTGCTACCGGTGGGGCTCTGCTGGGGTCCTCAAAACAAAACAGAAAACACAAAAGATGACAGCAACATAAGACAGTAAGGCAAAATAAGCTCCCCTCTGGAACCGCAACCATTATTCAACTCCGCAAAATAAAAACTCTGTACCTTCTCTCCCTTTGGGATAACAGAAGGGGGTTCTGGGTTGTCCGGAGACGAACCAGCCCAGGGCTGAAAGTCTCCTTAATAAAGATATAAAAAAAAATAAGGTTCCCGTTTCACCTGTGCATACAATGCCTTGGTTTTCTTTGCATGTACGTAACCTATAGCTCATACCTTAGTAGGCTGTATATAAAAGAAAATGATTTACTTATAGCGAATTTACTTATAGTGCGAAACCGATCTTTTGTCAGTGCGAACCTCAAGCTGAGCTAGGTTTTAAAAACAAACGAACAAACTGACGTTTGTCAGAAAACAAGCAGACCCAATCTTGATACCCGATCCAGGTTGGAACTGAATAATAAATTAATTCACTATTAGTTTGACAGTTGCACCATGACGAAGTGGCAGCGTATTCGTGATTTGTCCCATGCGCAAATGTCGCTAAAAGACATTTCAATCGCCGTGGGAGTGTCCGGTGGACCGTCAAAAGGGTTTTAGACCGAGAAAAGAAAGGACAACTATACGCGAAGGTGGCCACAGGTCGTCCGAGGTCAGCTCGGGTTCCGAGGGTTAGCGCTGCTATCAAAAGGAAAATTTGGGTGAATCCAGTGCGTTCAATAAGGAAAATGGCAAAGGAACACGGGATCAGTGACTTTACGGCACGGAAGATCGCAAAGGAAGATTGCGGGGCGAAGTCGAGGGCATGAAAAAAAAAACTCACATGATTACCAACCGCATCCGGGACATACGAGGCGAACGATACAAGAAAATCTTGAACTTCCTTAAGTGAAAAAATCCGGTAATCCTGTTCACCGACGAGAGCATGTTTACCGTCGATCCCGTATCAAATTCCAGAACCGACCAGTATACTAGTTCTCTTCCGGTAAAAGACGTGGCCAACGAGCACAAGAACGTGTATCTGACCAAACATCATGCTAGCGTTATGGTGTTTGGATTGGTGACTTCCGATGGCAAAAAAATGGACCCGGTGTTTATTCCAGAAGGCGACAAAGTCAACACGGAGGTCTACATCGGGATTTTAGGTAAGTATGTTCTTCAGTGGATCAAAGAACAGTACGGTCCGAAGCCAAATGTCGTGTTTCAACAAGATGGGGCTCCGTGCCACACCTCGAACCGCACTCAGAAGTGGTTGCAGGAACTCTGAGAAACATCCCCCCTTTGAATAAATAACCACGGCTCCAGATTGAAGCAAAATCAATGGAGAGAGTGGAAATGCCAACTGCCTGGTTTTAACATTTCTTGAATAGAGAGCGGACTCTTCTCCCCATTCATTGGGGTATCCTCCTGCTTTTTACCGGATGTATGATCCTTTTGTTGGAAGGAGATTCTCATTCATCCCGTGGATGCCCACGGATTCACCTAAACCGTTTTAGGTCCATCATACAATGGCAGGTTGAGTACAATTAAAGGTTATTAAACTTGATCAAGTCGAACAGCAAAGATAGTCCACAGTCTACTGACAGTTGTCTTGCTAAAGGAGTGGGAGAAAATTGGTGTTGGGAAATTGCTAAAAATTTAAACGCAATTGGGAGATACTTCCTGACATGTCAATTTAGTGTTAAGCCAGACTACATGGATGCCAATTTATAAATATTTTCTCGCGCGTCAAATCACGCAACACTCAATAACACTAAAGCCATCATAGCTGGATAGGAAGAGACCTACGCATTGATTTATACAAATCTATTAAAACAGAAAAATAATATCATTACTGCAGCAAAACTCTAGCATCTAACAGAGAGTTAAAAAATCCCAGTAATTATTCAAAAAAGATCTTCTAAATGATAACAGCGAACTAATCGCAACCGCAGCAGAAGCTAAGCAATAACCACTTAACACCATCGTAAAACTAGTTAATTGAACATGTTTATTCACAGTAGAGACGGAGCGAAATATTACGCCAAGTGCCAGTGCCGAAAATGAAACATAAACAATGTCGAAGTATCGAAAAGCAATAAAACTTAGCAAGTAAGACTCCCATCCCTGGACTGATGGGATGGGTTACCAAACCAACCAACGAAAAAATAAAAGCAAATAATATTAGACATTAAGGCATTATTCTTGCAGGATGGGGTGACAGTGGGGTGGGATAGTGGAAAGGGGAGGTTATAATAATGATAAGTAGAACCGAACAGCAAACCGCTGTTTCGGTGGTTACTGAGCTGTAAATTAGCGAATCTTGGTATGTGATATAGCATAAGTACTGTGAATGAGGATCATAAATCGGCGAATTTGGTTTTCCCTGACTGGGTGAAATGAGCGTGTGCGAAAATCTGTAATTTCGATTAGGGCAATTTCGCGGAAAAATGGCAGAAAAAAAAGCAACAAAGTATGCAAGCGTGATGTGTGTAATGAGATTTCTTTTACGCCAAAGCCGACAATGGCACATTAAGTGGAAATTAGTGCTTTGACTGAAGGGGTGGTGCGAGAGGTATTAGGGGATAAATGTGAACCAAAGCAGTGAAATATGAAGCATGATTGTCGTGACGGCGAATTATGAGTCTTCGGGCTTTATTGTTTGTGCGACAGAGAAAAAGAGAGCGAGAGAGAGTATTAGATGAGGAGGCTGAAGAGGGAAGGTGAAGATCTTATTGTTGGGCGGAATCAAGGGATATAAAAAAAACTGCTTACCCCATGTGAAGTTCACGGTAGGAGTAGAAGGGGTGATCTAAATTTAAGCAAACGATATTTAAAAATATAACCATTTTGCAGCTCAGAGTTTATTTATTTATTTATTTATTTATTGCACATCACCTTTAATATAAATCTCTTGGTTTATTACTAAAAACATCTTTGGACATAGTAAAATCAAATTCGTTGCAAACATCATTAAAGGGACGCAAACAGGAATTAAAACAGTTATTGAATCCAAAGTTAGTTCTGTGAAATGTAATTGACAGTAACAGTGAGTTTCGAAACCTGCGAGGAAGAATGTTCCATGGAATCCGTTCCAGGAATTCCAGACAGTCCACATTGCCGGTAATTGGGTCTAAGATGAACAGTCGTTGCAATTTGATACACCTTGCTGAGAGAGATTCCAAATCAATCAGTATCCAACGGTTTGGATAGCTAGGAAGAATTACTGGATCATTCCATGGGAGCTGACGTAAAGCAAACTTCATGATTTTTTTTCT